GAAAGATTGAAGTGCTACAAGGAAGCTGTAAAGCTGACGGGCTTAAGCTCCAGTTCAGCTTGTAAGTGGGTGTGAGAGTCTATGGCAGCTCACCACCTTCCCATGAATCATCAGAGGATGGGAGCGGAGATGAGAGGTGAGAGGCAAAACTGAAAGAGGAGAGGATTTGATTTGAAGGCACAAGATTTGGGTTCTGGTGGTGGCTCTGTCACTTCCTGGATGAGTGATCTTGAAAATTCCCTGAAACTCGTTTTTCTCACCTGAGTAACAAGCTTAAGAATAGCACCTTCTATCTACGCTTTAACGAGGATAAATTGAGATAATATATGAGGACATGCTTCACTCATTTTAGTGATACAAAAATGCTGGTTATGGGTCACAAAAAAGGCAGATGTGCCTTTGAAACATTCAGACTCCAGACTGACAATGGGGCCAGTCCGCCTGGATTCCATCATTTTTACTCTCCTTTTCTGTTACTTCCAAGTGTCCACTTTCTCATCCTAAAATTGGAATAAAAATATTTACTCTCCTGGTTGTTTTAAGGATTGAAATAGATATGCCTGTAAAGTAGAAAAGTATCTGTCTGTCCCCGTCTCCATTCCGGTAAGGGATCAACCAAAGTTGTTGCAATGTCCTTCCAAAATCCACAGGCAATGACATTAGCCTGTGTTATGCTCAATCAAAAGGCATGCCCCAGCGACCCAGAAAAGAAGAAACCTGTGACATTCCCATTATTTCCCATAGGGCACTGATAACTTCCTACTTCCCCTGGCTCACCGTGTCCAACACTCATTCGTTTGGAGTGTGTGCCCCTTGGGTGGGCATGAGGCATTTGCCCCTACCAGTCTATTAAAATTGCACCTAAATTTACCTTAGAGGAAGTAAATTATAAAGAGCTCTTTGGACTGTTAAAAGTGAAGTGATATATTTAGAAAGCAAGAGAATTTAAAAATACAGAACCACGATCAATTCTGTTTTAACTTGCAATATATAGTTGAGAGCATGGTGTACAGGCGGGAACTAGAAAAACTCTGATTATTTGTTACAATTGTTATATTGCTGAAAAAGGCATTTATTCTTATTTTCTTCACATCTGTTTCCAGTTGCCACTTGTCTTCATGGGTGGAAATAACTTCTTTTCTATGAAGTGGCAGAGTTTCTCTGGGTGTGGGGAGGTTCTGAACCTTGCGTGTGAGTGCTCTCCTTAGTTCAGTAACGAGATCAGTCACCAAGTCACCCCTTTGCTCTCTGGTGATGGCTGCCACCTCTTGTTTTCATGAGAAATGATAAAGCAAATGAGTCAGTGCCTAGGACCCTTCAAGAATGGCACGCAATGTTCAGCTAACCTCAAACCTTAGCTCTAGCTAAGGAGGTTTCAAAAAAAGCCTTTCAGAAACTCTCCTTCCAGAAATACAGGCATGCATCTGGCTTCCTTCTCTTTTTCTCTATTGGCCTTTTATTTGGCTTTCTGGATTTCATTTAACTTTTTAAAAACACCTAAGTATGATGTTTAGTTTGAATAAAAAAGCAGTGATGTAGTAACCTGTGATCTTCCCCTTTAAGGTAAGATTTTGCAAAATTTTATGAAAAGACAATGTGTTTTTGCATAGCAGATGAGGGCAGAAATGTTTACTCTCCTGATTACCAGTTATCTCCTGGTCAACAAGTACAATCTAAGATCTTTTTGCTTATGTAGCACTGTCAATTTCCTTTTTTTTACCTGAGATAATCTTTGTTTCGATAACTGTTTTCATAACCCCTGCCATGTTTTTTCCTCTGTTGTTTTTCTTTTCTTTTTTTTTTTTTTGAGATGGAGTTTTGCTTTTGTTGCCCAGGCTGGAGTGCGATGGTGCCATCTCAGCTCACCGCAACCTCCGCCTCCTGGGTTCAAGTGATTCTCCTGCCTCAGCCTCCTGAGTAGCTGGGATTACAGGCATGCGCTGCCATGCCCTGCTAATTTTGTATTTTTAGTAGAGACGGGGTTTCTCCATGTTGGTCAGGCTGGTCTCAAACTCTCAACCTCAGGTGATCCACCTGCCTCAGCCTCCCAAAGTGCTGGGATTACAGGTGTGAGCCACCGCGCCTGGCCCTGGTTTTCTATTTTTTAAACTATAATAATTCTGTTTGTTTTAAATATTTGTAAAGATATGTACAATAAAACTATTCTTAAATCATAGGAGAAAACCAAACATGGAGCAATAGAGCAATTCTAAGTGAAATGCAAACCTAAACTACTCTTTTAATAAGCTTTGTAAATAATCACTTGTTTACAAAGGAGGTGGTAATTCATGTGAGAGGAGTAGGAAGAAAGATTTTGGTCCCTTTGAAATTTTATTATTTTTCTTCTAAGTACATCCTCTAGAAAGAAAGCAAACCAATAGCATTTTGGAATTGTTTAGTCGCTAATTGTATTCCATGAGCATTCTTTCTGGTTCACTAGAATTCAGTGTATAAATCTGGGGACAAAGTGAAACTCTGAAGATACGAGCTTTGGACAGCAGGATGGTGAATAAAGGTGATGGAAAAGGAGACTTTGATATTGGAGAAACTGGTATAGCTCAGAACATAGAACAGAAAAAGCCAACTATTTGCCCAAAGTATCCGTCTTTTAAAGAGATACAATTTTAATCAAGTGAACAGGTAGGACTTCAGTCTGGGTGTTTATTTTTGTCTATTTATACAAATTCTTTATCACTCAGATCAAAGAATTTGCATTAGGTAGTAGTTTCTATATTTTCTTAAATCAATATACACAATGAATTATTATAAGATTATAAGAAATGCCGAACTGGATCAGATTTACAATTCATCCACCCAAATCCTACCTGTTTTAGACCAATCCAGGGATATTATGTATGGTGACCTGGTGGTTACTCTCCAGACAATTTTTAAAGTCTAGGATGAGCCTATAAACAAAGCCTAAAATAGTATCTGGCAAGTGTTTGGCTTGGTAATGGTTAATATTTGTTGAACAAACAAGTGCAAGATAAAATCTACCATCATGTAATTATCTACATTCTCTTGAAGCTAATCTTTTGTGTTATGTATGGTGTATGACAAGTCTTTTGTTCTAAGTGTATTACATTGTCTTTTTTTCCTTTCCTTTCGTTAAAGTGTATTACATTGTCTTAAAAATTACTTAAGCATCAAGAGAGTTCTTTTCCAGCTTTAGTATTACAGAATTTGATTTGATTAGTCTTAAAGCATTAGACAAGGAGGGAATGACGTACCCCCTCATTTGATGTGCTCCTCACCCCAGCTGAACCCCAGTCTTACTTGGAAGTAGAAGGATTCTGGCTCAGGTTGTAAACAGTAAACCATAAGAAGACAAACTGTTTTGCAGAGTGTTTTTAGTAAGTAGCCTGGCCTACCTAAAGGATAAATGTTAATTAGTTATGATTTCTTCTTAACACGGAATGTTACAAGATTAACAGGAGCAGATAAGAAAGAGAAGCATAATTGATTAGTAAAATCATAGCATAATTGATGCTGGTAAAAGTTTAATCACAGGGAATGATCTGTTTCTAAGAGGTAATGATTTATTACATAGCTCCTAACAAAGCTTTTATAGTATATATTAATAGCACTTTGAAAGGCCTGAAGGGACTAAAAGAGGAAGGATGCAGAAGCTACTTCCTTTGGCCAACAGAGAATTTGTTGACAGAGAAACTCACTACCATATTTTACAATTTCCAGGAACTGGAAACAGTTGATTAGCCACATCTGTTGTGAGTATGGGAGTGAAGTGAGGAAGTACTTTGCCATATATTCGCTAGTCCAGTACTTTGCCATATATTCGCTAGTCCTGTACTTTGCCATATATTTCCTAAACCGTGCAGGAATTTGGCTTATCCTTTTGGGTAAAAATGCAATTAAGAGAAAAGATCTAACTGAAGTTTTTAAATGAAGAAATATACTGGATAGAGCAGGACACACAAGAAGGTCCTCAGATGAAACAACTCTACGCTAAGGCTATGAAAGTTTGACTCCAGTGGCCTTTGGAAACAATGCTGGGAATTTAAGATAGGGCTCTAGAGCTTACTTCCTTCCAGTTTAAATCTGAGAATTTGGTTCATGAGTTAATTTTATTCACACTGAGTGTATCCAAAGAAAAATAAGTTTTTCCTGTATTTAATTAGAAAAATAACAAGTAGCAAACTTTCAGAACTTTCTTCCCCCAGTACCTTAATCTCAGGCAGAGGAGCATATTTAAGAAATCATTTTAGATTAAGATTCGAACTCATACCTAACCCACATCAGGAAGTCAGTGTTGTTTTGCATGTGCATTGTTAGAAGAATTTTCTGCCTCTGGCTTCTCCTTAGTAAGGATTCAATGAACTGTAAGCATTAAGAGAATTGCTTTGAAAAGTACTTCAACTAGCAAGAACTGGGATGACTTCAAAATGTCTTTTACTGGTTTTGCGGGTACTTATTTTGGCACTTTTCCTGTGGGGCTGCTTCAAGTTGGAAGCCTTCTCTAGAGAAATGTGCAGAGGATAGCATACTACCTTCTTTCAGGGGCTTAGAACTGCTCTTTCTTCTTCTTTTGGACATAGATTAAAAGTTTTGTTGTTACAAACCCCAAGCTACTGCACTATCCCTTGTGATCCTCTTTGGAAAGCACCCTTTGATTACTTTTGGCAAGCTGTCTGTTTCCTCCTGAGATCCTGATACATCACCTAATACCACGAAAGAATATGAGGCATTTTTAGTGTGATCTAAGAGTTTTGTACAACCAGAGAGACAGAGAGCGAGCGAGCAAGAGAGAGAGCGAGCGAGAGAGATTCCATTTCCATTAATGGATTACCGGACTTGAGATAGGCTTTGGACTCAAACTTGGTGAAACTCACCCAATAGTTTCGTAGACAGTTATTTTGGATAAACATAGAAATTGTCCCTTCTCTTCTTAAAGCTTGAAACTTACATTTGTTTTATCTGTGTTTCTTCCTGAGCATAGGACCCCCAGCCCTCTCAAAAAGTATAAAAAAGCTGAAACTTACCAGATCATAACATCCAGACACTGAGACTCAGGGCCCCGTGTTCATCATGATTGTTGTCTTATCCATCCCAAGTTCCTGGTTTTCCATACATAGTTATACTTCTTTCCTGCTATATAAAGTCCTAATTTTAGTCAGTCAGGGAGATGAATATGAGACTGACCTCCCATCTCCTAGGCATAGCACTTGATTAAAGTCTTCTTTGGCAATAACCATTGTCTCAGTGATTGCCTTTCTGTGCTGTGAGCAGCAGGACCTAGACCAAACCCGTGGTGTTTCAGTAACACTGGCAGAGCATGGACTATGGACAGTGGGCCAGGTAGAGTGAGAGACACCAAGGTCTCTGCCTGCCCAGTGAGATCTACTGCCTGGGAATGGCTTGGTCTGCTGTAGTTACAAGTCTTACTTCTCTGTTTCCAAGTAGGATCATTTAATTCTGCCACATTTTCCTTAGGAAGCTACCACGAAAACTTTCTACCTTCGTCAATGTCCCTCTCCTTTCAGTGAAGGTTCTTTTAATTCTTAGACTTAACCTCAGGTATAAGACTACTGCAGCATCTATGTCCTACTCCCTTATGAATTTAGAATCAAAGTCATATGTTTTTCAGGTTGGAGGGGCCATTTGCAACTATGTAGTTCAACTTCCTCCTTTCATAACTAAGAAACTGAGGTCTTTGTAGCCAGATGAGGAAGTCCCTCACCTAAACTTCATGGTTAGAGGTTATCATGGGTCCCAGATCCCATGAAACCCATACTCCTATTTTCCCCAGTCTAATCTTTCTATTCGGGGACCTTGAACTTGACATGTGGCACTACTTAGATAAGAAGCCTGAGGATCAAAGGCCTCCGTGGAGGGGTTTTGTAGAATGAGATGGGAGATTCGAATAATACAATAAGGGGGAAATGTTTTTAACTTCTGCAGGAATTTTTTCAAGGTATGGTTTGAGGACCGTGGTTTCACCAGGAATCTTACAATAATCTGGTCCCCTAAAATTCCTGTCATTATTTTGTTATAGGGAGGATATTTTCAGCAAATAATCAGGAGTAGAGGTCATGCACGAGACAGCCAGTCTAGGAAGGCAGTTCAGCTCTCCTTCAGGTTTGCTTTAGTCATGCTATATTAAAAGTTGTGAGAATTTTCCCAGAAAAGAAAGCTATATAACAGAATGTTAAAATTGAAATTTCAACAAGGCATAAAGATAAAATAAATGCAAAATTCTCCAGTAAGTTGCTAAGTCACAATATGTAGATGGTACAAGCATAATATCTGGGAATGGATTCCAAACCCTTGGATCCCTTCAGAGAATAAAGAGAGGGTTTTTGTGAGCTTTCCTCAAAAGTGACTAGTAGCTGTGCTATGGGGCCTCAGCTTTTTCCAGTTGGGAAAGTTACAGTCTCCTACACCAAGCCCAGCAAACTGGCAGGGGCTTCTGTGGGACTACTCTTAAAGAGCTTAATGCGTGTTTCCAGTATGCCAGAGCGCTCTAGACAAGTTGATTCTCTCCTGAAAAGTCTAAATGCAAAAGTTGGTTCATTAGGACTTTGAAGGTCAGGCCAGGAATCTGCTGTTGCATGGGGGCAAAGGTGCTTTGGCAATGTTGCATGAGGGCAAAGATGATCAGGCCAGGAATCCACTTTGAATGGGGGCAAAGATGCTTCATTGTTGCCTGTGAACCAAGGGTTGGTGATGGGGGATAATAACTGGTGTATAGCCCCTCTGCTGGTGGACCAGAGGCTAAAGAGGTGTGGGCATCCTGGGGGAATGAGGAGTATTACTTAAGTCTTGAGAGTTGATGTTGGAGATGTCGCCTATGATGGAATGTTCAAAGAACCCTTGAAATTGGCTCAACTACATAACCTTCACTATCTGCCATGCCCAAAGAAAAGGAAGTTGCTCAACAAACCAGATCCCCCTACCTCTCCTCTCTGCTTCACCTAAGGTTATCAGAAAAAATATAAGCTTCTCAGTTAAATTTGAATTTCAGATGGACAAGTAATCTTTGGGACATACTTATACTAAAAAATCATTTACTATTCATCTAAAATTCAAATTTAACTAGGCATCTTATATTTCTATTGACTAAGTCTGGTAACCTTACCCCCACTGCACCTTTCTTTGAGCAGCTGGTGAGTAGGTGAATAGTGAGAGGAAGGAAAGAACGAAATTGGCACCGTGTTTTATGCTTCAAAGCTCTTCCCAAAGAGTAAGAAGAAAAGTCAATGGACCTGCCAAATTCTTCAGGGAAGGGCAGAAGAAGAGTGCCCTAATGAATAAATTTTAAAAGGATAGGATGGGAATAATAGATAAAAATTATGTTTTGTGTATACCACAGATCTTTGTTAAATAATCCAGTTCTGTCTATCTAACTTTGTTTATTGAGCTGTTCCTCTCCAGGACCATAATTATTAATTCATCTTGGAATTTGTGCTTTTCAGAACATATTTAGGGAAATTTTACCTTATCATATAACTAAATAATTGTATTAGAGAATCTTGGCAAATCTTTGGTGGGGAACTAGTTTATAAGGTAAGTCCCTTAGGATTTCAAGTAAAAGAAAATTCAACTCAAACAGGCTTAAATAACAAAAGAAGTGTATAGGTTGAGTTATTTGAAAGGCTCAGGTGTAGGCTGGTTAATCTAGAAGCTCAGTTATGCCAGCAAGGACTCCATTTTTATGTTTTGTTTTGTTTTGTCTTTGTCTTTTCTCTTTACAGTAAACCGTCTAAACTTTATTCTAAGTCTGACTCCCTTGTTTAATAGGGTGGCTTCAATAGGGAACAAAGGAAGAGACAGCAATGCTGTCTTGGCATTCCAAACAGCCTGATTGGTTGGTCACATGCCTACCTTATAGTGAAGTCAATCAAGGCTTTGCCAGGAGGCTAAGAGTGGGTTCAACTTTTACGAAAACACATGAGCTGCATGGGAAAGACCAGATAGATGACTGCCTAGGGATAAGAGTAGGGAGTCCTGAATTATTTTGAGAAAATGAAAGCATGAGAATGAATGCTGGGTCAACTGGCAAGTTTCCACCACCGTTGACTATTCAAACTTCTGTAATTGACTGCCTGCAGGGGAGATACCAAAAACTATTTATCTGTCTGCATGTTTATGCAATCAACCAATCTGAAAGGACCTGGCTCTCAGTGTAGAAGCCCAGCTCCCAGGGATCTCTTGATTGCAAGGTGTTAACTCCTTAGTTGCTATATTGAAGGGTCCAAAAGCTACTAGGGAAGGTGACGGAAGACCATGATAGAGTGGGGCACTCAGAGGACACAGGGCAGTGGCAATTTGCCAACTGAAGCAGAAATACATCAATATATTTGAACAACCTTTATACTTGTACCCATGTGTACCAGCTGAATTTTTTTTTTTTTTAAACCACAATGTGATTTTGCTTCTGAGTAGACTCTCCATTTCTCTTAGTTTTCTCACTGTAAAAATGAGTGGGTTGGATTAGATGATTTTAACAATTCCTCTGAGAACATTGTTTGTGTTGTAGTCGATAACAATTTATATAAATGACCCTTTAATTCTATCATGTACATTGTGATATGTCTTAAATAGAATATCGTAAGCAGTTGTTACAAATTTTAAAATGCAGAGAACCAAATTTCCATTTGAAATTTGGCACGTTAAATTTAACTGAAGTTAAGTCTAAATTTAACTGGATTTGCACACTGAAATTTTCAAATAGATTGTTTTTAAGACCATGAGGGATTTCTTGTTGTTTCTCATTTTCTGTGTTTTGCATTTAAAATGTGAGAAAAAGACAGCCAACTTAACACCTTAAAAACCACTAATGTTGTTTTGACCTTAAGGAGAACTCAGGAGGCACAAAAACAGAAATGGCTAAAGGAAAATTAGAGTTAAGATGGAAGCCATCCATTCGCCTAAGGATGGTTCAGTGGCTGAAATTATTCATTTCTGGTAGCTGCCTTTGGCCAGGTTACCCAAGGGTGGGGAGAGAGGAAGGGAGTAGTAGACACAGGTCATTCCCACTTTCCCACCCCCACGGGTTCAAATGCCCTCACAGGTATGGGTTTTTCTCCAGGGTTTCACCTGCCACTATAACACTTTCTGAGAAGTCTACTCGATCTCTTAGTTTTTCACCTGGCTTGTCATCTTAGATACAAAAACCTCAGAGGACAACTTTTTTTCCTAAAATAAATGGGAAATCAGCAACAATGGTGATGCTGTTTCCTACCTCCCACCCCTTTCTTTGTCCTCCTTTACCCATCTTGCCCAAATCAGTTGATCATCCCCGAGGGCAGGGTTGCAGGCCCTAAAATTATAAGCAAGAGGAAAGAATAATATAGATTATCTTTTTCTACAGAGACATGAATGTTTGTAGTATTTTGAATTTGTCTGATGGAGCATTTCAAACATTTGCAGATCTAGATTTGTAGAGTTTTCTGAACAAGTTGCCAAAGCTATCAAAGTTAAGACAAGCTCTTGATGTTTGAAGAGAGAACTTCTTGTCTAAAGCTAGTATTTTCTATCTTCGGAGCAAAACCAATGACTAAGTAAATCCCTAAGTCCCCCTCCTCCTCTTTATATATAATCTCTGATATAGTTGTATGTGTATATACATCTATGTTAATCAACTCAGATGAAAAATTTTACTTAGAGAAACTTCTACGGAAAAAGAGCCACAGGTATAGGAATGAATGATCTTATCTTTCTAAATGTGTTTTCTGTTATAGCAGTGGATATAGATAAAAATGCATTCATAGTGCTTTTAACAAAAATAGTTCTGAAATATAATTTATAAAATTTGTTGCCCAGAGGCTAAAATAAATTTATCAGCCATAGATGAGTACTCTGGTTCTAATAGGTCTGCATATGTGGGTAAGTATATATCGTGCCTAATGTACATTATATATGGTTTATATATATTCCTCCAACAACAGCTTAATAAACATTGTCTCCACAATTAAATTATTTTAAAATCAAAATTCATTTTTGAATATTTGTAGATCTGTCTCAGTGCATACAGGGACAAAAAAGAATATAAAATAAAAACAAACATTACTTGTAAGACCGATATAAGTCACCTCACTTACTGAGTTCTCAATAACCTCAAGTTAAATAACGTTATTTTCATTATACAG